AGAGAGAGAGAGAGAGAGAGAGAGAGAGAGAGAGAGAGAGAGAGAGAGAGAGAGGCTGGAGAACCTGGTGATAGCTTGGGTGTGGGTGTGCGAGATAGACACATGGAAAGGTTGGTCAGATATGTCCTGGGCGAAAGTTGAAATTGTTCATTAAGGTCTAGTTGCTAGCTATGGGGCATATTCTGCTGCGGCGCTGCCAGTAGCTGGATTTGTGTGGAAGTAAAGCACACCAGCTATGGTGCTTCAGGTGTAAGCAGCCCACGACAGTGTTACAAAGTTTCTTTCTTAATTTGGTATGGATGACGGTTGTTCTGAGCTGACTCTGCAGTCAGCAGAGGTAACTTGAGTTCAGGGTAGACGTCAGGAAGCTGAGTTGCAGTCTGTGGATTCAGCATGCCGATTGAAAGCGATTGCATCTACAATGCGCATCTGTGTGCGCCTTGAGTTTTCGTCATTGCTGTACGCTACTGTCTTCTTCTGGATGGTGGAACGAATTGTTCGTGGTTGCGTAACTTCTTCTTCTGGACCGAAAAGAACTCGTTTACGGTCACAAAACGTGTTGCGAGCTTATCCAAAAGTGATTTCTGCAGTGCGGTGGTATTTGCTTGCGCCTATGATCATCAGGTAATCGACAGCTGCATCCACTAGATCTGCACGCGCCAACAGAGTATGCGCAAACAATGAAAAGGCTCTTCGGTAGCGGACAAGTTTTTTTTTTGTTTTTGTTTTTTTTTTAAAATTCCCTTTACGGCCTTGGGATATCATCGTTGAGCTGACTGGCTTCAGAATAATTTCGTTCTGTTAATCTGAGTGCAGCTGGATTCGAGCTTGGGTCTGTGGTTCAACAGTTCATTGGGTATACCAACTGAGCTAAGCCCACCGGTGGCAGCGGCCGAGTCATGCTGTTATGCAACTTCATATATTTGCCGACAGCCTGGCTGGACTGTGGGATGGATGGTAGGAAGGTGGGTGCTGCTGCTCGATTTGGAATTAAGCCAGTTGAAGTAAAAAATCTTAGATCTATGATGGATGGAAGCAAGAGGGCGTGCTACTATTCTATTTGGAATTCGGTCAGTGGAACTATGCCACTAATTCTTTTTGGAATTCAGTCACTTGAACTATGCTGCTATTCTATTTTTGGAAGTAAGTCTGTTGAAGGGAGAATCGAAGGCGATGGTTATGGGAAAAAACCCTTCGACCTTGTGTGGTTTACACCTACAGGACAGATGACTTAGTATAACCAAGCCATAATCACGAGATCACTGCTATTCTATTTTTGGAAGTAAGTCTCTGTTGAAGTGAGAATCGAAGGCGATGGTTAGGGGAAACCCTTCGACCTTGTGTGGTTTTTATTCCTACATGACAGACGACTTTGTATAACCAAGCCATAATCACCAGATCACAGGGTGATTGGCCAGAGACTTCCAGAAGCAGCAGTCCACAGATAACCACAGCAGAACTCTTTCGGGCCAATGGGTGAACATCAGAGCTGTGTGTTTGCCTTGCAGAGATGAGGACGACGTGTGCAGCACCCACCCCTGCAACTGGTTTTTCTCTCTAAGGAGTCTGAGGGAAGGTTTTGTACCTGTTCAGATCACCGGTTGATTCACCGGAGACTTCCAGATGCAGCAGTCGACAGATGTCTACGGCGGAACTCTTTCGGGCTAAGGTAGAACACCAGACCTGCGTGTTTGCCTTGCAGAGATCAGGACCTATCCAACACCCCTCCAACTGGTTTTCTCTCTGAGGAGTCTGGGGGAAGAGTAGTACCTGTTTCCTCTTGTGGTCAAATGGGTACTCGGTTTCTCGCGAGAGTCGAGGCCAAACGGGTTTTACGCGTGTTGGAACGACGAGCGTTCAAATAAGTACTTGGTTTCTTTTGAGAGTCGACGAAAGGAACAGGTTTTACGCATGTTGGAACGACGAGTGGTCAAATTAGTACGTACTTGGTTTCTCTTGAGAGTCGACACCGAACGAGAAATGGGTTACGCGTGTCGGAACGACGAGTGATCAAACAAGTACTTACTTGGTTTCTTGTGAGAGTCGAGAAGAAACGGGTCTTACACATGTTGGAATGACGAGGATTTTTTGGTGGTAATGGCGAGAGAATCTTTGTTCTCGAGAGAACCCATTAGTCTTGCGTAGGTCTCTTATACACATCTAGATGTGTATAAGAGACAGGAGATGACGAGGATTTTTTGGTGGTAATGGCGAGAGAATCTTTGTTCTCGAGAGAACCCATTAGTCTTGCGTAGTGCGCCGGGAAAATCTCGGCGAGGGAGGGGATTTTGTGGAGTAAGACTGCAACGAATGAGAGAGTACCGTGAACATGAGAAAGCAGCATGGTGGATGATTGTAGTACTAGGAATGTGAAAGGTGGGGGAAGGGTTTTGGTAAGATACCGTGAACACGAGAAAAGGGGATGAAGGATATCGGGATGATGTTCCGAACATAAAGAAAAGGGGATGAAGGATAGTCGATTTGTGGCACAGTATTGCAAACATCCTGAGAGGAGGAAGGATGCTGGCGCAATACTGTGAACGTCTGGAAGGGGAAAGCGGGAACAATGGTTGTGCGACACTGTGAACATCCCCAAGGGAGGAATATTCGAAGTTCGAAATGATGATGCGACCATTTGGAAGGCGGGGCGTGGGCGGGCGGGTTCCTTGACAGGCTCGGTTTCCAACAAGCAAGGTAACAGATCTGTGTTATCAAATGTGGGCTTCAGTATGAGAGGGAGCAATGCATGTCGCCAAAGCTCTCTGAAACCGCGGGGGAGCATTTCAATGTGCTTCGTGGGAAAGAGCAGATCCTTTATTTGGCCGTACGAGGGAGGAATGCATATCGGCACAGGTCTCTGAACCTTAGGGCTTTTCGAAGTTGGGAAGAGGGAAGAGAATGTTTGCGAAAGGATCTTTTCTTCGCTCCTGAAGCTTTCTGAGAAGGGCAGAACAAGGTTGGTGGATGATCGTTCCAATTTCGGATCCGGTCCGCTCAGCACTCACCCTCATCTCAGGAGATGGCAGAATCTCCCGAGCTGTATCCACATTGTTGAAGCTCTCTCTCTCTCTCTCTCTCTCTCTCTCTCTCTCTCTCTCTCTCTCTCTCTCTCTCTCTCTCTCTCTCTCTCTCCTGCTTTTGTCCAATTTGTCCATCTTGCATTGCATTGTTGGTGGTGGTCCCCACTGTCACAACATCTCGTTGCATACTGCGGAAGGAAATCATCCGTAACCTTTCACTGGGGTTGAACGAGGAACAGCTGAGCAGTGTTGCAAAACAGTAGGCTTTATAGCCGGCCTTTTTTTTTCTGAGGATTGTGGCACATTGTCACTTGAATGCTTTTATTCAATGCCAGATGTTTATCTATAATACCTCTGCGTTTGGGCAAAGAAACAGGAGCGAAGTTCTTGCTTTCTACCTTTCTGGTCGTTCGGTTAAAACCGCTACCCTACCCTGTCTTTGCGGTTAGCAGCAAGTGCGGTTGCTGTTAGAGCGCTAACTCTAACCGAGCCTTCCCGCTCTTTCCAGTAGTCCGTTGGATGGCCAATCCCAATCTGGCAGGCACAGACGTTTCTTCCACCGTCACCTAATCCAGCTCAGCCGCAGAGCACAGTTGCGAAAGTTCAGCGAAACGGCATTTGTGATCTCAAGTTCTGAATTCAAATATAGCTTGGGTCAGCCGGCTTGACCATTTCTTTTTGAATTGATGTGGTTGGTGGTGGTCCCAATGCGAGTCTGTTCTCGCGTCCTGGGGATCCAGTTCAGTTTGATGCAGGCGTCGATGAGCTTGATGGTTGTTGTGCAGCTGCAGGTGGCTTCTGGATGACCGGTACGGTCGTTCTGAGAAATTGTGATCTCCCTATTGGCTGTTGAAAGTTCTGTGCGGGCTTTTCAGACTGGTATTCAAAATAGTTAAATACTATTCGTCAACAGTTCATCTGTTTTGCGGCTTTTGCCCCTGTTGCGTTTGGAGTTCGATTTGAAATTTTCGATGGATTCCTTTATTGCTTATATGTAGCTGCATTGACTGATGACGACGATTGCAAGTCCTGGTGCTATGCAACAGCCAACGAGACGCAGAAGTAGCAGCAGCAGCAGCAGCACTTGACTCTTGCCACACGCGCTGCGGAGTTGGTGAGGGGAAGATATAGCAGCAGGAAGGGCAACAAGCAGAGAGAGCGGTCTGCTGCTGCCAACAGCCATGTGGAAGGAAGACGAGAAGAGCGGTGCCACCTGTGCTGGTCACCGTGGAGTATCGTGGCGAGAAGGATTACGAGCAGAGAGAATGTTTAACCAACTTCGATTCACGTAGAACGGTAGAAGTAAAACGGAAGTGTAATTTTGACAAAAGGAGTGCGGCAGGAGTAAGTCTCATTGTGTATTCAATTGTCAGCCAAATCCACCAATGTGTTTTCCTTTGCTTTTGTTCTATTCATCATTGTTGTTGTGTTCGTTCTCGTTCTCGTTGTCGTGGTCGTGGTTGTGGTTGTTGTTGTTCTTGTTGTTGTTGTTTGCACAAAGGCATTATTGTTGTTGTTGTTTCATGCACAAAGGCGTCATTGGTTTTGTTTGCATAAAGACATCATTGTTGCCTTTGTTTGATGCACAAAGGCATCATTGTCTTTACTCATGTTTCTGCGAGAGTGGATGCTGCGTGTACTATGTCCTCTGTTTCACGGGCGGGGCAATGGGGCAACATTGCCTCTGTGGATTGTACTCTGGGGTAAGAAGGTAGCAAGAACTCTTGTCCCTGGCAACCCTTGATGACAGCACTGTGGGGTACCCTACCCTCTGTGGCACTTCCAAAGCCTGTGAAATAAAGCCTGTGAAAATATGCTGGACGACGTAACCGTAGTAATTCAAAGCTTGTGATCTTTATCCCCCCTGAAAGATGCACGTTTCTTTTTTCTTTACGTAGGGTGTAGCCCCGAACTTCATTGTTTTCTGGCTTTTTCCCCTTGGTGCAGGGGTTTTGCTAATCTTCTCTGTATCTTTCCAATTTTAACGGATGTCCTGGACGACCTGATTTTATCGTGTTCATCTGATTCTCTTTCAGGACTCCAACTCGTGTTCTGTTTACTGACAGTTACACTGAAAGAGAATCGGACTCCAACTCGTATAGATGTCCTGGACGATCTGATTTCATCATGTCACCTTTCGGCCTCATGGGGTGGGTAAAAAGCTGTACCCATAGACCCAAAGAGAACGCGTACAGTTGCTATGCTGTACCTATAGACCAAAGTTGCACCCAAACAGAACGCCATATGGTCACTAAGCTGTATTGCAACGACCTTGTGTTCTATTCGGGTGGGCAATGGGGGTGGAATGCAGGAAGGGGGCGGCATAATAGGAATCAGTGTTCTGCGCTGCATGCACTGGATGCTGATTTACTACAAATAGCCGGTCTGATTCAGCGGAAAGGTAGGTGGAAGTGCGCACTTGGGACCTCGGTGTGCATACGGGCATCGAAGAAGTGCACGCATGCAACCGTCCATCTCAGAATGTCTTGGGGGGCAAGGGTGTGTTGTTGGCATCGTTGCAAAGTTTCCGTGGGAAAAGACTGTGCAGTTTGTTTGTTTGTTTGTCTCGTTGGGGGGGGAGGGAGGGGAATGTGGAGTCGTCGGGGATATCACATAGTTTTTGTGTTTTCAGAAAAATTGTGAACAGCCCTTGGAAGGCATGGAATCTTTTCAAAAAGTGGGGGGAATATGCTGATCTACAAAAGAAAGCATTGACAAAAGAGGAAAAAAAAGGTAGTGGTTGCGGTGTACGCTTTTTTTAAAGGACCGCAGAGGCAATCGGACCAATGCTCTGCAGAAGTGAGATGGAATGGTTCATAGAGTCAGAGAGCTTTTGACGCAGGTGGCTTACACCAGGACTTGCATGAAAATTGTGCTGAGCCTGTTGTTGCAGGCGGCGTACGCCATGACTTGCATGAGAGTTGTGCTGTGCCTGTTGCTGCAGGCATGCTGTGGAAAAATGAGAGCAACTTGCAAGCTAACAGTCAGCAGAATGGCCAGAGACTGAGAGCACCCTGTTCCCTGTGTGCATGTGTGAGCCCTATTATCTTCCTCGTCATGAGTGTATACAAGGTGTGCCTTTCCAGTGCAACAGAGTGCTGACGAGTGTATACAAGATGTAGGACGGCAGGCAGTAGTGATGACGAGGGTTCGAGGGTTGGATGTGTTTGGGGAAAGACGGCAGGCAGGTAGTGGGTGTGTTTGGGGTTTTAGGGATCTTGCGTTTGGGGTTATGGGTTATGGGTTTGTGTGATCGTGAGCATGGTGTAAGAGGTGAATCATCATGGGCTTGCTGCCTGTGTTTGGGGGTTGAAGGATCTTTTGTGGATGTGGTTGTTGTGGATGGGCTCAAGAGGTTTTGTTTGCGCATGGGCTCTTTTTGTGTAGTTCCGTGGTGGCCCAGCGCGTAACCCCAGCCAGGACGGGCTCTCAGATTTTGTTTCCAGATGGGCTCTTTTGTTTGAATTTCATAATGGCGCGGTGCCACAACCCAGCGATACTTGTGCCTGCAGGGTTGAGCATGAAAAAGCCCACATTTCTGTGTGTCAAGCGGAGCATGGAGTGCCCACACATGTGCACCTGCACGCGAAACATGAATCGCAGTAGTGAACCAAACTACGGTAATAGGCACGCTCCGCCCGCCCTCTCAAAAAAGTGAGTGGGGGCAGAAAACCATGGGCCTCGGACGGTCGGACTCATCGCGGCGGTAAACGAAGAGTCTTCATGGAAGATGTCTTCATGGTTGACTTCTCCCGCTCGAAACACAGGTCATAATATCTGTATTGGTGGCGACTTTCAGTCTAGGTACAGCAACAGTGACCACTCTTTCTATTCTGGCCAAGATTTTTTAAGGAGTTGTGTGACCCCAGGGTAGAAACGATGTGGGAGTGATAGCAATGTAGGGTGGGTGGTGTTTCAGAAAAGACGATGTGGGAGTGAAGTGATCGCAATGTAGGGTGGTGTGTTTCAGTACAAATAATGTGGCAGCGATCGCAATGTAGGGTGGTGTTTCTCGTCAGGTTAATGAATATCAGGTTAATGACTTTGGATAGAGGGGCTAAGTTGATTAGTAAATCATTATAATCATCATGTTTGCATTTAGACATCACATCAGGAGGCTATCTGGTGGCCTTGCCAAAAAAAAAAAGGTTTGCGAGAGATAATCAGTACTGGTTGCTGCTACTTCTGCTGTTTGTTTTTTTGTTTCCTTTGAGTCTCAGTTGGAATTTGCAATCTATGTTTCAAGTTTCAACAGTTTTAAGAGTGTACCAGCTGAGCGAGGTCTGTCATCGGTTACTTGTGCTGTTTTGGGAATGACTTTGCAAGTCGTACGGACTCTCTCTCTCTTTACAGCAATGCTGTTTTTTTTTTGTTTTTGTTTTGGGGGGGAGACAATGCTGTTTTCTCTTTCATGTACTACTGCCAGTTGCTTTTTCGTTTTCTTTGCGGGGGGGAAGGAGAGCTTTTGGGGAGGGGAAAGTTTTCAACAACACACCAGGAGGCTTCCTGATACCATTGACAATAAGATTGGAGAGGGATATGAAAGCTTGTGCTTTGAAGTGTTGGAATACAGACCTAAAAGTGCGAATCCCACTTGCAATCAAACAAATATCAAAGTAATTATGCGCTATGTATTTACTATTGACTATTTACTTCTTTTTGTGCTATTGTAGAAATTACCTTGCGAGGCGCTCTGGAGTCTGGACAGCAAATACAGTTTTTGACACTTTTTGTATATTTTCTGTGCACCGCCATTGACTGCTTGGGAAAGGGCAAAATTGAAAATTGGCCAGTTCTCTTCTCTTAAGGTTTTGTGACAGTGGTGGTCAGGGAAGCGGCGAGGATGGGAGGAGGGGGAGGGGGAGGGGGATATGTAGAAGGGGTACACTTTCTAGAGTTTTAAGTTTGCCGCATCAGTAAGACTAAAATCATACACAAGACGTGTACTCACATAATAAGATCTTTTGGACCCCCTTCTGGATCTCATTACAGTCATATACATCCAGGTCGTGCTGGAATTGTGGTCAGATGGATTTAGAAAAGTCCCTTGTGCGAGTGTGCCCTCGCCCCTTGATGAGATAACATAATATCCAAAGATGGGAGATGCCGAGCGTGGCAGAATAGATACAGAACATTAAAAGGAAACCTTTTGTCACTGGGATGATGGTGTAGTAGGGGGGGGGGGGTAATATTGACTGCAGAGGGGTCCCCTCATTGCTTTTTCTCCTTGGCGCTCCCCAACCCCCCTTCCCTCCTCTCTCCTCTGGGCTGCTACAGTTTGAATCCCTGTGCCAGTAAGATGAGGACGATAGTAATGTGAGTGGACTATAGCAATAGTGTGGACGACGGACAATCGTGCGATCATGTTTAACCGACTGACAGGTGTAACTTTCTGGTCTTCTTTTTTCATTTTTTTTCCTCTTTCCCGTTCTATCTGTCGTGCGTAGAGGGAGATACCTTGTCCAAATTTGGACAGGACGGCCTTTCGGCCTTATATAGGATTATGGGGAACCCCGTAGCAGCCACATCTGCGTTCACATTTGCATTCAAGCCTCCAACGAGCGGGGGCTACACTCGACCTGCAGGTTGGCGATATCGGCCAGGGATCAACCAGTAGTGTCAAGGACCATCCCAACTGCACCAATCTGTGCCCCTCCCCTTACGAGCATTAGTCGTCTGTGATCATGGGGGGCCTTAAAAGAATTAGCCTTATATATATATATATATATATATCGTCACAAATAGAACTGCCCGGTAAATCGTAGGCAGAGAGAGAGAAGAGGACAACAAACGAGGGGCTGTGACAAACTGTTTCGT